GGGTCTGCTACAATCCATGAAGGGAGGAAAGAGCCACGCCTCCACCGCTTTTACCAGTCCCAGGAGTACCACATAGCTCAGCTGGGGGCTGTCATCTCTTTGTCTGTTTTGGGGGAGGCAGGCTCTCAAACTCCCTATGTGGGAGTGGCCTTGAATGCCTAAGCCTCCTGCCTCCACCTCCCAAGTGCTGAGATTACAAGCATGTATCCCCACACCCAGTTTACATAGCACTGGGATCAAAATCATGTCTTAACGCATGTTAGGCAAGTGTTCTGCTTACTAAGCTATAGCCCGACCCCAGCCTTTTAGATCTTCCCACATGGCTGCAAGTCACAGACACCAACTAGATCCTTACGAAGGGTAGTTGAAGCATGTGTGCTAGATCTTTATGGGTGTGAGCACACAGAACCCTTGACACGTGAATGAACGGGCAAGTCCTTTAGCCCATTTGTCCCACCTGAAGGAATTGTGAACTCAAGAAGTCAGGCATGGTGACGCATACCCACAATCCCAGAGCTGGGAAAGTAGAGGAAGGGGAGATCAGAAGTTCAAGGCCAGCCTTAGCTACATAGCAAGTTCAAGGTCAGCCTAGGCTACAAGAGACCCTGTTTCAAAAAAAAAAAAAAAAGTGAAGGAAGGAAATACGTGGTCAGGTGAGCAAAGGCATGGGGCTCAGGATGGCCTCCGTCACTCTGCTCAGAACAGCAAGGGACCAGAAGCTGTTGAGGAGCCAAGAACAGAAACAACCCAAATAAATGGTGGAATGGAATGTGGGTGTCCGTACACGGTAATTATAAAGCACATTGACGTTATTCCATTAAGAACCATATCTATAAGGAAAAATGGGGGAGATGTTCTGGAGAGATGGCACAAGTGTGTTCTCTCCTCACTATGTGATACTCTGGGGTTCTGGTGGGACACCAGCTTTACGCACTCAAAAGCAAGATCCAGGGACTAGACAGATGGCTCAGCAGTTAAGAGCGCTGGCTACTCTTACAGAGGACCCAGGTTCGCTTCCCAGCACCTATGTGATGGCTAACAATCATCTTCAACTCCTGTTCCAGGGGCTCTGACACCCTCTTCTTAGCACCCCTGGGCATGGCATGGCATGAGTGCACTTGCATACATGCAGGTAAAACACTCATACACATAAAACAAATTTTTTTAATTCTTAAAGAGAAAAAAAGAAAACTGGGGGTGGCAGGTGACTGTGAACACGCCTCAGTTGGTAGAGTGTTTGCCTAGCATGAGGCCCCTGGGCTCCATCCCCAGCACCACATAAACCAATGGTGGTCTGTAAGCCTGTAATCACAGCACGTGGGAGATAGAGGTGGGAGGATTTGAAATTCAAGGTCATCCTTGCCTGCATTGGCCAGGAGTTGTTGGCCAGCCTGGGCTAAATTGAACCCTGCCTCATAGGCAAAAGGAAAATCAGTTTGTGCCTGTTTTGAAATGTTAAGAAACAAAGATTGTGGGTGGGGAGTCCGGCCGGATGGCCCCACCTTCCTTCTCCTTGTATTTCCTTAAAGGGTATTCAGTATGCCGTTTACCATCTGCATATCTGTTTAGGTGACCTGGATGACTGCACAGGAGCTAATGACTTCGGCTGCCCCTCGTTACCAAGGGTGTGACGCTCGAGGGCTTGGGCAGGTGTTCCTCTATGGTTTTTGTAGGTATATATTGGTTTTCAGTACTGGGGACTGAACCTAGGGCCTCTTGCATGTTAGGCACGTGCTCTGCCACCAAGCCCCAGCCCTTTATTGCTTTGCCTGTTTGTTTGTTTGTTCTTTTGTTTGTTTGTTTGAAATAGGGTCTCCCCATAGCCCCTGGTGACCTGGAACTCGATATGGAGACCAGGCTGACCTAGATCTCACAGAGATCTACCCACTTCTGCCTCTGGAGTGCTGGAATTAAAGGCATGTGCTACCATGCCCAGCTGCCTTTAAAAATATATATATTTAAGCCAGGTGTGGTGGTGCATGGGAGGCAGAGGCAGGCGGATCTCTGTGAGGTCAAGGCCAGCCTGGTCTACACAGTGAGTTCCAGGACAGCTGGGACTATAGGGAGAACCTGTCTCAAAAAGACCCATAAATATATATATATATATATAAATTTTATTATTATTTTCATTTTGTGTGTATGAGGGTATTGCCTGCATGAGTGTAAGTGCACCTGTGTCATGAAGTGCCAGCATCTGTGTAGTGCAAAGCCTTCAGAGGCCAGAAGAAGATGTTGGATCCCCTGGAACTGGAGTTACATATGGTTGTTAGCCACCATGTGGGTGCTACGAATTGAACCTGGGTCCTCTTCAAGAGAATTCAGAGCTCTTAACCACTGAACCATCTCTCAATCTTTTTTTATTCCAGCTGCTGTTTTTAAATTTTTTTAATATTTTATTATTATTTTATGTGTATGTATTGCCTGCATGTGTGTAAGTGTACCCATGTCATGCAATGCCAGCAGAGGTCAGAAGAGGGCATCAGATCCCCTGGAGTTTTGGACAGTTGTTAGCCACCATGTGGGTGCTGGGAATTGAACCCAGATCCTCTGCAAGAGCAGCCAGTGCTCTTAACTGCTGAGCCATTTCTCCAGCCCTGACTTTTTAAAAAAAGACAGATTCTCATTATGTACCCTGGGTTGGCCTGAAACTCCCAGGCTGGCCTCAATCTCACAGAGATCCACCTGCCTCTGCCTCCCAAGTACTGGGATCAAAAGCATAAGAGGGTGCTGTCCAGGCTGGCTGGGGTCGCATAGCTACACTGTGTGGACAAACTCTGACTTGGCCACCAGAAGGGTGTTCAAATCACAGCTGCCCCTGAGAGAGAACCACTCTTACCACGGCTCACTCACTGAGAAAAGACCCCTGAAACCACCCTTTCTCCTACTCTCTGCCCAGCGAGCTTCAAGAGCGGTCCAGATATAAGCTGATCAGGGCAGACACCCCTGACTAAACCGATTGGCTCAAGGTGGTCACATGACCTAAGGACAGTCTATAGTGCATAACTCAAGACATCCCTTGGGAACTCTAGGACTGAAATCCGCAGATTTCCAGATTTCAATCTGTTATCAGCATGCCCCAGCCCCCATCTTCAAGCTATAAGGAGTACCTGTGCTGGATGCTTTAGTGTCAACTTGACACACCTGGGTTGAGGGAGCCTCAATCGGGGAATTGCCTCTATTGGACTGGCCTGTGGCCATGTCTGAGGAGCATCTTCTTGATGAGTGATGTGGGAGGGCCCAGCCCACTGTGGGTGGTGCCACCCCTGGGCAGGTGGGCCTGTGTTGGATAAAAAAGCCGGCTGAGCAGGGGCCAGGGGAGCAAGCCAGTAAGCAGTGTTCCTCCATGGCCTGTGCTCCAGCTCCTGCCTCCAGGTTCCTGCCCTGAGTTCCTACATTGGGCTCCCTGATGAACTGTGACCTGGGAGATGTAAGCTGAATAAACCCTTTCCTCCCCAAGTTGGTAGTGGTCAGTGTTTTGTCACAGCAATGAAGAAACAAACTAAGACAGTACCCCAGGCCTGAATAGTGACATAGAAACAGCAAACAGATCTTTGGAAAAGGAGGTTCAGACTACATGTCTGTACCCAGATCAAGCCTGGCTGGAAGCTGTGTTGGATTGTGGTTTCAAGAGCCTTTTGCTTAAGAAAGTTGAAGTTGGTATATTTATTAGTTACAAGCACTATGATACTTATCCCTGGCAGAGCTGCCCAGACACACACCCAAGATGAGTTTGGCTCATGTCAAAAGCCCAGGATGGGGCTAGGGATGTAGCTCAGCTGATAGAGTGCTTGCCTATGGGCAAAGCACTGGATTCAGTCTCCAGCACCTCATAAACCTCGAATGGTTGGAACATGCATGTAATCCCAGCACTCAGAGGTGGAAGCAGGAGGATCAGGCGTTCCAGGTCATTCTCAGCTACATGGTGAGTTCCAGGACAGCCTGGGTTACATGAGATTCCATTTCAAAAATCAAAATGGGGAGTGGTCTTGGAAGGATGGCTCAGTGTGTAAAAATCCCCAGAACCCACATAAATACTAGGTGGGTGTGGCAGCCTGAAGGCCCAGTAGGGCTCTCTAAAACAAGCTGGCTAGGTAAACTAGCCCTGCTGGTCAGTTCTGGATTCAACTGAGAGACACTGCCTCAAGGAATAAAGTGGACAGCCATCAAGGAAAAGTCCCAATGTCAAACTTGGGCCTCTACACACATGCACCTGCACACACGTGCGTCCACACATGTGGAAACATGCATACACACACACAAACACAAGCAACCAAAACAAAACAAAGAAGCTGGGGCAATGGCTCAGTCAGTAAAAGCCTGCCAGACAAAGATGAGGACCTGAGTTCAAATCCCCAGAGCTCACATAAAAAGCCAGGCATGGCATATGAGCCTCTAACCCCAGCCTTAGGGGGCAGGGCCAGCCAGAGACAGGCAGATCCCTGAAGGTCATTGGTCAGTCAGCCTAGCCTAAAAGATTAACTTAAGTTCAGTGAGAGACACTGTCTCAAAAAACAATTTTTAAAAAGTGGAGAGCGAGCTAGGCGTGGTAGTACACGCCTTTAGTCCCAGCACTCAGAAGGCAGAGGCAGGCGGATCTCTGTGAGTTCAAGGCCAGCCTGGTCTACATAGTGAGTTCCAGGCCAGCTGGGGCTACAGGGAGACCCTGTCTCAAAAAAAACA